TAAAAAACTATTTGATTTTAGCTTGCAGACTTTAAGAACAAAATGTCTTTGTGTCACTATATTAAGTGTTATACACAATTGTCTTTGCTAATAGGGCATGCATTTGTCATGCCTATTAATATTAACAAAAGAGGGACACATTTTTACACACAACTCAAGTTCAGGTAATGTATCTGCACTTAAGCAGTTTGTACTTTGATTAATCAGAGAATAAAAAACATTTATTTCTATGAAAAACAAGAGAAAGTCTAGATGTAAAATATTACCCAAAGTGAGGTTAATGTAGGCTCTTCATGTACTGTACACCAGCGTCCTCTGGGCTGTGTGCGAACAAGAAAACTGTCCTACTCAATCCTGGAAGTTCACAGATTCATCATACCAACAATAAAACGATACACATTTACAGATGATTAACATTTTAAATTAAAGAGCAGAAAGTCCAGCTGGCTCAACTGAATGTGAAACAAACACTCATATACTGTGTTAGGGAGGAGGTATGAGAGTCCGTGCTCAAACTGCTGCCCCAGAACCAGGCTCTCCTCTGATGGAAGAAAAGGGTGGAAATGAATGGATAGGCTTAACCTCTCTGTTACATTCAACATTCTGAAGACATTTACCCATTGAAGATGAGCAAAAGATGACAATACTATTTTCTCATTATAAAACCCAAGATTGTTTCTTGTTTTCAAAGTAAAAAAATAAATGTTCCATGATGCCATTTTCTAGAATCTAATCATATTCTTTTCCCATCTCACACAAGCCACCGACAAACCCACCCAGGTGAAGTATTCTTATAGATGATTGACTGGGTAGTGTCACTTGAAAACCCCGGGAAAATAACAAAACGGTCTCTCTTTGGACACTGCGGACACGACAATTACCATTTAAATCTGACAATCATTTTTTCACTAACAAACATTCGTTTCTCATATGACTTCAATTGTGGAGTGATTTTGCACACGGCCCTCATTGTCTTGACTCAATGTAAGACACTTCTGCGTTGACCTCGAGTGTGACAGACGTGTCCTTGAGCTGCGGCTGCACTTGAATAGAAATGCTTTACTTATGTTTTCAAATGTTATTGCTTTTCCTTTTCTACCACTTCGCCATTTCCCCTGCCCACGCATTAGTCCTGACTTTTAAACTTTGCACTTGCAGAGGCACCAAACCACGCTGTATACTTGTTAGAGGCTAAGGGTCTGCTCTACTGACACTGCCTTTGATGCTAAATTTTCAAAAATATTCCAATCTAATTTACTTTGCCACCTTTTGTTTCTTCATGCATACTTGGTGCTCATGTCAAAATCTGGCCTCTACAGACAATTGTAACACATGACAATACATGATGCTCAAAATAGTTTTTATTTAATTGTATAAACATCCAATTAGTCTCTGTGGGCTTGCGGCATCTTTGTAGAATACTCATTAGCAAAGCAAGTCTAGAGCAAAGTATAAGTCAAATTAAAATGGAAGAACTCAAAAAACATTGGATTTAAATAGACCGACAAGCAACATGCATTACAACATCCAATTAAGAAAACTGAAGCTGCCGGGAGCAAGTATTAGTGATTATATAATTATCTGTTGCCTATTCACAGCTAAATCCTTCCTAAATATAGGCTTCATGAATAGACAAAGTTAAAAATAATGGAGATTAATTTAACCCTTTAGGCGCAGCATTTCTTTTCAGAAATTAGATGCGAAAACAAACAAGAGCCCTGATATTGTATGCAGTAAGACAGAAGACAACTACAATCAAATATATAAATAAACTAATAAAAAGGGATATATCTACGTTTCTCAGCTTTTGACCAAGTTATATTTACTTTCCTGTCATTTACACACTCAGTTCTTGTTAAAGCGTTTCATTCCTGTTGAACCCATATGCTTTTACACAGAAGATGCTATTGCGCGCTCCTGACTCCTGACCACGCTCACTGAGCCACTCCCGCTGTGTGTACTTTGAGCAATTTGTTTTCTATATGTAAAGCTAGCTATAAACTACAGTTTTTTTTAGCCAGATTTCAGGCCTTTAGGCGTATATGCAGTGTACTCTGCTCAACAGGTGTCTGCGCAGCTAAGCACCATGTCTCATATCTGCCCAAATAACACTACAAACTGCAATGTTAACATTCAAGTAACACACTCACCCCACAGCCCCTCATGTCCTCACGTCAACATTTTTTTGTATATCCAGTCCAGTGTCCTGAAAGTTCACTAGCAGTAGTTTTGTGTATGAACTAAACTGTTACAACCGTCCACAATTATAGCCTACAAGCCATTTGGTAAATCATAAAACCTCCTCTACCTTGACCTTTTATAAGAAATGTTTTGTCCAGGTTTGGTCAAGTATAATTAAATACCTCAGTAAATAAGTGTTGATGGCATGCTAAATGTTTTATTCATTCCTAATGCGACTGAGATACAAAATCTCAGATTGTCCATATGTCTGGTCTGTGTCATGACTTAAAATCTCACAAGACTTTAGCCAGCATAATATACAGATGATTCATCCACGTTATGCAGAAATGTGTTCCTCAAGGGAAAAAAAGTATCCTTGCATCGCAGCTTGATCAGCGGTGAAGCGAGGCCCTCGATGTGACCGTGTTCCTGCTGCCGTTGCATAGAAGGGCATGAAGCGCACAGCCGTCTGGTGGGACTGAATACAAAAATTAGCAGAATTGTTTTAGCTTTTATTGATGACAGAAAAGGCGCCTCTTCTCTGTGGAGTGATGGAGGCTCAATTTAAAAAGGCCACTCTGATCAAGATTAAAAGTCCTTTATTTTATTTTACTGTGACACAATTCTTAAGAAATCACATTGACGCACACTCCCACCTCGCTGGTGTCTACTATTGACATTCATATGTACTAAATATTCAATAATGAGCCTCTGGTGTCATAGATTATATCACAACTGTGTAAAGGAGACATATGTGTGTTATGTCCTCTAGGGGAAGTGCGTTGAGAAGAAAAATAAAGAGCACAAACATCAATGCCTCAAAGTTCCAACAATCCTCCAATGAAAAGATTTTCTGAAACTGTATAGATTATACAAAGTGTCCTTGAATCATGAGCTCATGTATCCATTCCTGCCTAAGGGGTTAATATTTAAAAGCATAAAGCAAATGGCAGCATTTAGTTATCTTGATTTATAAAAAACAAGACGACAAGGAATGTGTCATGTTAAAAGTCTAAAAAGAAAGCAATGAATGAAATGAAAAACAATGAATGTCTGCCGAGTCCCAACTTAGTCATCATTAAATACATTTTCCGAAACAAATTGCTAAAGCTTGTAGTCAAAATGTCTAAGCAAAAAATAAGTCTGCATGAATAATTCTAAATACCCTCTTTTCTTTAGCAGAATATATGCAGAAATATCAATAAAACTATTATTACTGTGTCAAATGTCAGTTGAGCACCTTTCGTTTATGTAAAGCTGTGCGTGGGTTGTCATGAGGGATGAAGGCCCTCCAGTTAAACGTATATATATGAAAAGTGGTTCATACATAAAACATAAATACTTATTGCTCAACCAAAAGTGTGTTGTATGTTTATTCGCTGTTGACCGCATGTCACAAAAGTGTTTGATTAAGCATGCAGGCCGTCATATTGCTCAAAACAAATAAGGTGTTGCAGGAGTCATGGATTTCATTGTGGTAACGAGGCATTCTGAACTTTTTTGCACTGACAACACTAGTGCAAAGTGAGAAAAAACTACACAAATTGCTAAAGAAAGATATGCTGGCATGGATTTGAAAAATATCAAAATACACCGAGGCTCACTCCACTGACCTGCGGAACAAAGTGGCTTTCATGTTATGCCTTGACGGTGCATGCGCATAATTGGGTTCCTTACAACTGCTATTTTTATTTTACTCTTTGACCTTTACTGAACCAGGAAAGTCCCACAGAGATTGACAATTTCTTTCTAAAGAGCGCTCTGGCCCCATTAGAGACCTGCTGCACATCTTTCTCAGCAGAGGAAGAAAGCACAGCACCCACAGGAAACCTTGGCTGACACGCTTACAAAAGCACTGATTGGACATCAAAACCAGCACTCTCTCCCCGTGAAGCCGACAGCCCTGGACTCACTACGCGCTGCTACTACTGGACTGAAGAGGACATTGTAAAGAAGAGAACGAAGAAATACCCAAACTATCCAAGTGTTGACGTGATCACCGGGGAAAATGACGATTTAAAATGTGCAAAAGGTGAGACTTTATGGTCCACTGTGTCCTTGTGTCCATGCTCTAAGTCTGCTCTGCAACTGGTCAAAAACATTCTTGGTCGGCTTAAAATCTGCCCCAATGATTGATTGGTTGACTGAAAGGGCATGTGGGAAAAGAGTTGTAACAGTTTTTAGACATTTGGGCTCAAATATAGACTATTGGGTCTGACCACGCAGCTGCTCTCCAAAAATACTCCCAAGAATTGAGCAAAATATCTTGGAAATAAGTTCAGAAACAATTATATCACGAGAAAGCAAGATTTTTATTACACATTATGCATTAATATAGCACTGGAACATGGACCTCTTGTTGATTGTTAGTTCAAACTAGATTTCTGTAAGAAATATTCAACTTTTCTGCGTTCACACTTGTTAGTATGGTTCACTTTAACTGGACAAAGTCTGGTTCACTTTGGAGAAAAATGCGTCACAGATACAAACTGAATTAAAGCTGGAGTATGTAACTTTGAATCCACACAAAATAACCACTGGTATGTAATAAATGTCCATGTTCCTATCATGCATGCAGGTTGGGCCTTTGTCACATCTTTAGGTATGTTTTTTGCAATGAGTAACAGCCATCAGCTCTCACTATAGAAAAGTTGTTTTCTAATAAAAGATGTTCAAGTCTGGTTTATTCAAAAAATGTAAGAAACCTGATCTAGTGTTTTCTACTCTATGGCAAATATATAACATCCTCCATTTTGTATGTGCTCAATGACATCTGTTGTACTTGAAATTCCACTGAAGTAAGACCTTGTAGTTCTTACCCGACTCTGTGAAGTTGAGGAGGGAGCAGGAGTAAGGGTCTTCTCTGTCCTCCTCTGGGATGGGGCAGCCGTATTTGCCAACAATAAACTTCACCCCCACCCTGAGGAGAAAACCATAAACATCGCGTATGAACACACTCGGAGGACTTTGTTGAATCCGTCTTTTGTACGCCGATATTGGACTCGGGAGATGAGCATTTCTAAAGCTTGTCCATCGAGACACCTCTGTTACCATGGTGACGCGGGTTGCTTAAAGGCCACCACACCTTATCAGTGCACACATCTGTGAGCGAGCCGTGGAAATGGACAAAAGAAGAAACAGCCCAGATATCACAATATCAGGCATCCAGGATGATAAAAGGGGTCCACGCGGATACTCGGTTTGGAGCTCGGAGCGCTTTTCAGTTCAGGCAAAAATTGATGAATAACAGAGTGTACGGAGTTTATCATAGACTCAATATCTAGTGTTGGGAGGAACTCGAACACAGCACTGGGATTACTTTTAGCAACAGTAGTGCTTTGATATTTTTTACATGCGGATGAATTGTACAGGCTTCTCAAGTTACTGCTAATTGCCACTTTGTGAATGTGAAGCGGCTGGACTGAAATGTCTGTTGTTGTCATGTTTGTTTTTTCCAAGACTAATTTCTTACTCTAATCTAATTCAAGAAATTAAGCTAGTTAGGTCTGCTTTAAATCAGTGACGCCAGGACTGCTCCACAAATTGAAAGATTGCAATTTCAACTTGAACGATTTTAATGCAACTGTCAATAATCAAGATTGTCTGAAAACAAAACGAGGCTGACGAAGAGTTGTCAATGTTGGTGAGTTAGAGACAAAATGTGTGTTTTCTCTTAATTCACCTCTAACAATGTTGGCTTACATTTGTACAATTCTGTTTTTATGAAGTTTGGTCTGTATTTTGTTCCCGTCTGTGCTTGGCACCATCAGCCTGCAACAGGTTATCTAAAGATTTTTTCATAAAAAAGATTAAAAAACAATATTGAAACGTGAGATCTACCAATAGGAGGGAGGAAAACCCTGTTATCGTCGCCAAGTTCTATTACAGGCCGGGGGTGAAAGTGTAGTATTTACAAAACCGGGCTTGATACTATTACAGGCCTATACATTACCAAATTTCTCTTTGGCAGGCGGTTCATAGCACAACGTATTTTGGAAATTGAACTGAGCACTTGAACACAATTCTAGGGGAGAGTTCACAACCTGCTCTTAAACAATTGTTATTAAATGTTTTTCTTCTGTCGTCACCGTGAGTGAAGTGAATGGAAATTACCAGTACACCAACAAATTGGAAAGAGCTTTGTATGACCTTGCTCTGTAAAATGTATCAATTACGGTACTAATTACTACTTTCAAAAACATGTATGAATAATGCGGGAAGTTGGCTTTCCACAAAGTCCAATGCAAGTTTAATTCAATACGGTGGATATTCAATGGAAAGCAAAACCATGTGGGGATAAGAAGGCCCCCTTTCACAAAAGGTGTAAATATTTTAAATGCTCTATTTCATTCCATGTAATCACTAAAACGGCCTTGAAATAAATTCACAGAGATCTTTTACTTGGATAAAATCAAAATATGTTTTGTAAAGTGAATGACACGAGCCGACCCGCTCGGCGTAAAGGCACTTAACCCGTCTGTGCTCCTCTTTGCCAGGACAAAGCCGACACAGAGGGGACTGACCTGTGCTGGAAGTGGGGGTGATGCTGCAGGTAACCCAGCCATGTCGCCCTTATGGCCTGCCGGAGCTCGTGATGGTGCCGAGCCGAGAGCACTCCCACCAAAACATCATAGAACGGCAAGGCTCCGTCTGTAACACAATCAAATATTCATCTGAGACTTAAGTACTGCTGCGTTTGAAATGGAAAACCCAGACAGTTACCTCATGCGGCAATGAAACAGTGCCCTACAGCAGTCAAAACAATAAAGTTAGGATTTCAACGCTCTAAATTTAACCTTCTATTAAGAGGTTTTTGGGAGAAGCAATAGACAGTTTTTTTTTTTAAGACAAGGCAAAGGACAAAGAAAGGTGAGTGAATTTTAAAAACGCAGAAGCTGGAAAGGATAAATCAAATAGACGCACTTGAGATAGTGGGGGAAGACATTTGAAAAGACACCGCAACAACAAAGATAAAGCCCTGAGAAAAATACTAATGCTGTCTCTCGAGTGACCACTGAGCCAAAAAGCTATAATGTCATAACAAGTTTAAACATTACGTTATCTTGCATACATAATGGACTGTAATTGGACCATTTGCCTTTTTTCCAACAGCATCTTAGACATGACTAAAAAACAACACTTATGAGCAGTACATAAGTAAAGCTTCTGCATACTTTCTAAAGAGGAGGCAGTCATCAAAATGCAAAACAGGAAAATTGAGCACGTCCTTCTTGAGCAGGTACTTTGCAACAGAGAAGAGGAAAATCCCCTCCAGGTTCACAATTCATTAGGATTCCAGAAAAGACACAGAGAGTCTTTAAGCGCTGGAAAAGTATCCACTTGTACAGTGAAGACAATAGGAAGAGAGATCGTAAATCGGGCATATCAATACATTTGAACAGCTGCTCATTATGTGTCCCAACATAATAAAACTCTGTGATAAAAAACCCCGAAAAGAGTGCGTCTTTCTTCTACCATAAATAATTGTTCAACTCAAAAGACATTTTTGTGCCGTAATGCATCAACATTGAGGAGAAAATGTTGGTTTGAGTAGCCTGTATAACCCAGGTTGTCACAAACAGGTGCCATGAAGAGACAATTATTGATCCAATTATTTCCATTCAATGCGACGCCTGATTATAAATGTAGCTCGATGAGGGGAAAAACTGACAAAACACGGAGTAAATCGCAAACCACTCCGCCACAGTGCGTCAAAACAAGTGAGCATCTAGAAAACCGATTAATACTTCAGTATGAGCAGTAGATCAGCTGCAAATGAATATTCAGCATTACCTATTTTACATTTGACATCTGCCTTCATATAAACTCGAGCGCCTTATAAAGCAGTAAACTGCAAGAAAGCATTGGTTTATAAGAGAGAGCCTTCAGCCACTCAGCCCCCCAGCTCTGGAACTCTCTCCCCCCTGACCTCCGTACCATTGACTCTCTTCCACTCTTCAAATCCAGACTCAAAACCCATCTGTTTAGACTGTCCTACCCCACCTAACATACACGCAACGCACCCACCATTCCATATTGCACTTGACTACCGTTTTATTCTGTTGCTCCTGGTTTTAATGTTTTTATTTTGTCCTGTACAGTGTCCTTGGGTGTTTTGAAAGGAGATTTTAAATAAAATGTAAAATTATTATTATTATAGAGCGACACCTGCCATGATACGCAGCAGTCAGACATTTTGCATTCATTTCTAGAGAAGTGACAAATCTGTTTACAATAGACAATAGGATACAATCTGGCAGAAAGAAATCTGTCACCAGAGAATGTTGTTCGGAGTGGTTGATCTTGGAACCAATCCAGATTTTTGTCCTATATCAGCTGAATTGGTATTGGTGCATTCAAGTTAAAATCAATCTGCTTTATCAATATGGTTTGGCGAGATAAAGCTAATTTCTTAATTTTCCAGCAGCAGTTTTCTTACAGCATTTTAGGAAATCCAAATACTGTTTTGGAAGTCCTCAGAACGAACCATTAATTTTAATAACTAAAGTTAATTATACTTATCTAATTCCATTTTAACATTTATTTGAACAGAACTGTGTATATTACCAGTCTACAAAACAAAGAATTAACCAAATCAGTATTAGTTAAGTCTTTATTTTCCTCTCTCCTTTTTCCATCAAGTCTAAAGCCAACACATTTCTGCAAAATCAAAAACCGCATCATTTTTGTATAAGATGTGTCTGAAGCAAGAAATATCCATTAAACCTATTGTCCTCCTGTAATTTGGTCTTTCACTCAGCAACAGCAGGACTTGCAGTCATATCCGATAGAAAACACAGTACGCCATTACGCTTAAAATCTATCTGCTCATTTGGCTACAGGCTGTGCCCTTAAACAATAAGGCCGTATTTAGTAGACCATGTGGAAAATATTGCAGGGAAAGCAATTATTTCTGACAATACAATTACCATTTATAACCTCATCCATGGCAAAAGCATTTTGTCCTATTGAGACGATCCCATACGCCAATGTTTCCATGTCTAGCAATTAAAAATGGCAGACAATAAGGAAAAACTCAATTATTTAACGTGTTGAGTGCCAATATGTAAATGTCCAAAAATGTGGTGGGGGGGAACACTTGAGTGACTGTATGGCTTTGCTACAAACAAGCTGCATAATTGATCAAAAGGCATATCTTCTTGGATCAAAAAATACTCAGTCTGCAAGAATATGAAATGATTTGTAGACAAGGTTTGGGAAGTCAGCAAACCGCAGCTTTTAGACGCACAGTGAAAAAGGCAAAACATGTCTTGATCTCACCAACGCCCAGCACTAAAGACCTGTTCTAGTATATTATAAGCAACTCAATTTTGCACCACACACACTTCCAATTCAATCGAATATTGGCAACTAATTGGCTCATTAAATACTCATTAACTTGACTTTTAATAGATTTTAAAGCATGGCATGTACAGAAAATTGGTTTTATTCCTCGAACAAGCAAAAATATCATCAACATGATCCAGTAAACTTGTAAATGCAGTGTTTTTCGACGAGAACTACATACTGTCTGCTCATTACAATCCTCAAGTGCCATATTTTTGCTTTTGCATTCACATCATTCCCTTTCCCACTCCAGACGACTAATCAAACAGCAAAAAATATGTGTTATTATTTGCAGTCAGTAATAGTCACAATAAATGAAGAAAAAAACACTCCGATGTCAAAAGGATTATTGGCTTTTAACCAAGAAAACTGGAAAACCATAATTATCTGTCATTTCAGCTCTCGATTGTCAGCGTTGATCTATGGGAATATAGAAAGTAAAATTAGTTTGAATAATTAAGTTACGTTGGTAGGATAAACAACCAGGTATAGCACATTTATGACTGTTTTCACAATAGTATACATTTTAGTAAGTAGAGCTGAATTATCACAATAAAACACGCGATCGATCCGGGCTTCCCTGTTTACAGCTATGATCAAAACTGGATCAATAAGAAGCGAAAGCAGTCAACTACACGTTTCCACTGTACTTTGCAAAGACAGTGAAGTTAGCTACATCCATGCAGTCAACATAAAGTTATCCGAGAAGAAGGGAGCAGAGGAGAAAAGTACCCGGGGTGGTGTTGCTCTCCGGCGGGGTAATGAAGCTTCGTAAGTCCAACCACAAGTGCAGTAGGACGGCGAGAGCACAGGGCAGCAGAGCGAGCGCTAGCCTCCGCATGGACAGGCTCGGGGGTCCGCGGGAGAAGCCTGGAGGGGGGGCCGGGGGAGGCTGGTGGCTGTGGCCGCCGGTGAGCGCCTGTGTGCGGTGTGAGCTCCTCCGTGAGAGCGCCTCATGTCAGCGGCTCTGCTCCGGGAGACCTCCTCATGTCTGTGGTGAGAGAGAGAGAGACGGGCCAATGAGAGGAGAGCAGATCCTGCCGCGGTGCCGCCTGGGAGATGTAGTTCTGAACAGGCTGGCCAATTACAGTGGTTTACTTCCTGAAGAAAAGTTTTATGCAGAAATAGTTTATCACATCAGCATCTTTAATGATCACGTTAGTTAAAGCTGGGGTACCTAACTTTTCCCCCCATAATAAATAATTATTTGTGTTTGTCCCAACAGAAAGATAAAGTAAAATGTTGTGTTTGTCCCAACAATTCAGAACATATGATATATTTTGCAATTAGATAAGAGTAATTAATAAAAAATATCCCTGTGAGTCACTATTTGATTGTGGGCTGAAAGATAGGCTGGGGGTCGGGCCTACCAGTGCCAGGTCCTCTCTTTTAAACTTTTCTGACTGGAAAAGGCTTATCCAAAGATGTGATGTGAGTGTGACAGACTGGCTCTAGAAGAACTAGTTACATGGATGGTGTTACATAGCTTCAATGTTGTGGTTTGAAAGTGTACCACAACATCTTTGACTTTTGTAAGCAAAGATGACTAATTAATTGATTCTATAATGGTCAGATAAAATAGCCAAACACAATATAGTAGTTTTCTTTCTCAAGAGATACAATGAAATCGAAACCCTAAATTGTTTGTGTTGCCTTTTTAAATTCTGTGAGCAGGTTTGCAATTCCACAAACCTGACTTAAACTGGTCCTAGAAAATGGCCTCCTCCTGCTTGTTTCCATGAAAATGTTTTCCTTTGGCTATAATTATCTTCCACAATATGGAATAAAGTCATCTATCAGAAAATATTTCAAAGTGTTTTATCTTGGAATCGATCCAGCTCTTTCTTCTATATCGGCAGACTGAATTGGTGCATCCCAGTTAAAATCAATGCGGCCACCCGTTTGCTGAGATGAAACCGGAATGCACCTACTGTATGTATTTGTAATACTACAGAAGTGTACCCTACAGGCCTCCGGTCTGGGCGGCGGATCTGCAGAGACAGTGATTCGAATCGTATTAATTGCATCAACATTCTGCAACATTCTTTTTTTTCATCTGCCGAGCGTACATATATTTCTGCCCTCCAAGGTTGCGGTAGTAAACTAAACCCGAACACTTTTTAAAGGTCATAAAGTTGTATTTTTATGAGATTTGAGAAACTTTTGCGCACATAAAGTTTAGTATAAGATCCACACATTTGGGGAGCACTGCTGTGGCCTGTATTTTTTCATTTTATTGCCACATTAAAATAACGCCACCCCGTGCAGTTTTCAACCAAAGAGCTTTAAACGTGTAAACAGAAAACCGGAAAGAGGTGAATAAATTCTTTATCACATGTCTGTAAATTTAAGCACTAAAATTATGGTGTAGATAAGGATACAGCGCATTTTAGTTTTGGAAGACAAAACCTTTGAACAAAACAAATACAGTGGCACAGACAGTGGTTTCAAGGGTGTCAATAATGTTTTGTAATTTCACTTCATAAAACATGCAATGTTCATTGGCCGACGCAGTGAGTATGTTTCTGAGTGGAGTTTGCATGTTCTTCCTGTGCCTGCATAAGTCTCCTCTGGGTGCGCCGGTTTTCTGTACCACTTCAGTACCGTTCAAAAGTCCATTTTCTTCTGTACTTCAACTTACAATGTGAGACTGACATATGATCGACTCATTACACGCAAAGTGAGATGTAACGAACATGTATTTGTTATAATGTTGATAATTAGCTCACACCTTACAACCAAAAATAGAACCAAATTAAAGCATAAGAGAAATTTGGAATATTATTTTGCAAGTGCTGAGTCTTCATATTTTAAGTTGATTGACAAAAACAATACAATTTTCTCATTTTTAACTGTACTGTAGGTATGAAAGATCCATTGGAATCAAAAATCAAATAGAAAAGTCTTGTTGTCCATTATGAAGACTAAAGGGATTCATTATTGTTTTGTTAAACCCTTTGTGTTACCTGACCTGTGCTACATACATGAACTCGCTTTGCCTCGTCTTAACCGTAGAGGTATTTGAGGAAATGGATCATGAGTCCCAGTTTCCCCTGTGATACACTGTAGGGACACAGGGACTCACAGGGGACACTGGGACTCATTATCCATTTCCTCAAATACTACTACGGTATATAGAGGTATACATATTACATTATTTCGCACCAGCAGCTGATCAAACATTAGATTCATAAAAAAAACAAGCCTCTTTTATGTTCTGGAGTTACAACCACTGACATTAACTTTGTGTGGCGCATTACTTGTCCCTTTATGTTTCAATCATAGTGTATTAAAACGATCATTCTGTTTTCTGCTCTGACGGCTCTCTGAAAGTCCCCTCATTTCACACTTCATTGTCCTGACAAACTTTCCACTTTTATTTTATACCTCTTCACCCCGGGCACAGAGCAGCCTTCTTATCTTGATCATTATATAATTGTTTTTGCAGACCTCCTCATTACACAGATTTCCATCACTGCCAGCCTCACATTGTTTATTTCAAAGCAAAAGTCTGTTTGTGGCATATTTATGGTTTCCTCCCACAGAGCACACTCCAGCCTCTGCATATACAACACTTTCCCCCCGAAATCTTGTCTTTATTTATGTTTCTTTCATTGCATCGCATTGCATCTCAATTCCTTTGCCTGCAGAGTTCCAATGCACAACTTCATAAATATATTGTACGCATCATCTTGTTTTTCTGGGTGTAATTTCCACAGTTGTTAAATTTAAAAAAAAAAGTGTAATTTTATTTCACGGCATATGGTGAGATCCAATTGCCTTAATTTGCATTTTGACTTGATTAAGAACACTGGGTTTAGACAGCAACAAGCAAGTGACTATTTCTATTCTATTTCAGTATGGCAAAATAAAATAGGCCGGAAGACAATGCAAAATTATGTTATTGATTCTAAAAACCTGTTAACTTGTAATTTGTCCCAACAACAAAAACAGTAGAAGAGACAGACATCATTGTACACTTTAAAAATAGTCAGCTATAATTACTGCATAAACAAAGACATTGCCTCAAAACATTTTTTTTATTTTTTATGAAAGAACATGGCACAGTAGCAGATGCCACAGTGTCCAAAGCAAACAGAGAAAAATTGATCTGAATAAGGCTGTAATTGTCAACATTTTGTCGCAGATACAAAATGTTGGGACATCTGCTACTTGAGTGTGCGCTGCTTCTATTCTTGTTGGCAACATTAAAATACAGACACACTTCATCCACTAGGGGCAACAGTGAGTCATCTCCAATCAAGAACACACTGTAACATGATGATGCAAACCACACAGAGAATAAACCTGGTCCATGTCCATCTAAATACCAGGAAAATGTCAGATTTTGCATGTTCTCTTGCTTCTATCACTGTAACATTTTCAGCTAGTGTAATCTATGATAACAATTCACAGTTGTATGGTTGTTACATTTGTCAAATAGTATGTACCCCTGTTTAAAGTAGGGATACCAAACTTTCAAACCACCCTCACTCAGCCAATCAGCTATTTGCTCAATTTGTCAAATAGTGACTCACAGGGCTACGGGAAAATGTGTATGTTTCTAATGAGATAAAGACTGCAAAATGTTGTCTGATTTGTTTACATCTCATTCTTACAAGACTCTATTGGGAATAGCTAAACATATTATGATTTAAATTCTCAAAAAGCTAAATCAAAGTCTAAACTTGAATCATATTAAATATCACAAGTGAGCATGTGAATTTGTTGTTTAGTTGGGAATGATTTTGAGCCCACAGCAGCATGGGTATTCCCAGGCTAAGGAAAACAGACAGACACAGGTAAACCCAGGCTAAACTATACATAAATTATTCATTCATTTTCTACCCCTTTATTAGTCCATTTCTAGGTCGGGGGTGACCATCAGAGCTGCCACCCAATGCTCAGAGCACCGGTCCCTCGGTGATCCTCCTGCAGGTGGTGGGTCCACAGGAAGATGGCTGCTGCTACATCAGTGGTGACACAGCCTTGGTGTTTCAGCAGGGGCTTCAGGCAATGTGGGGCTAAGTGTCTTGCCCAAGGACCCAATGACAGCAGACATTAGTGGGAGCAGTTGGAGAAGGTCCCGTGGTGGGCTCGAACCCATGACCTTCAGGGCCAATATACACAATATATGCCAGTATACACAATTTAGGCAACCAAATTGAAAAGCAGACCAAAGATGACATTGTATTGAAACAGTTCAACAGTCACTTTTCAGGTTGAAGTGCACGCCACAAAATGGGCTCCATTGAAGCAAAACCAATCTTGAGGGTTAAAAAAGTGGCCTCCAAGTTTGAAACTGGCCAGAGTACAATGAGCAGCAGTCCTATAGTTCAAATCATTTACTGCATTTATAAACCTATATGTTTTTATTACAAGCAAGTTTAGGACTAGACATGGGGAGGCAGCGTTTATGCAGCTTAAATTTGGAACAGGCTTCTTCTCTGATAATGTTTAAATCCAAAGACAGTCCAAAGGTGAGTGCTGCAGAGGATTCGAATACAAGAAGGCTTGACAAACCGATGCTCTTCAAAGACAGGGCAATCTAAGCAGATACAGGATGAGTTTGACTCGATCGTAGTGTGCTAATCGAGAAGAGTCTGAGGCACTAATTTCATCTCTACTCTTTTTAATGTTTTGTTGTTATTTATTATCTTAATCCCTTGTGTGATTTTTATCTTTTTAATTGCCTTTGTGATTTTAAATGTGTTTTTAATGGTGATTTTGGTGTTTTATGTGATTATTTGTGCCTTGTATGATGTGGACTCTGAATCACTTTGTGTTTCCCTGTGTAGGAAAGGCCCTCTACACATAAAGATTGATTGATTGATTGAGTTT